ACCTGCCCCTCCATGAACCATGAACTGACACTGCACAGCACGCAACGGGCGCAAAAGAAAAGTAAGCTCTTGGCGGGTTTGGCAGCACCTGGCAGTAGCCCCCAGCGCAGCGCAATAGAATGAGAGTAGATTGGGCCGTGTNTGAATAATTTATGAAAGGTTCGGGGCTTACCCACCATAGTTGGTTGCGGTAGGGAGGAGAGGGTGTGTCTTGGTTCGCGGGGTCCATGTCGTCGATTCAACGGATATTGCATTTAGCTCCTACCTGCCCCTCCATGAACCATGAACTGACACTGCACAGCACGCAACGGGCGCAAAAGAAAAGTAAGCTCTTGGCGGGTTTGGCAGCACCTGGCAGTAGCCCCCAGCGCAGCGCAATAGAATGAGAGTAGATTGGGCCGTGTCACATGCACACACATCCACGAGCCGTGCCCCGATCGAGGCGGCCAACCACAGACCACGTGTACGGTGTGTAAGAGGATCCCGTGAGAGAGCTGGTGAAATAAAAACCCGCAAAAACTGAAGCACACGTGTGTCGGATAAACAAAACAACGTACCAAAGAGCGGCAGAGAACCGAAAGCTGGTAAGAACCCGGCCGGCCAAGCTGCGCCATACCCATGCAAACCGCATCAACCGTGATGATAGCACGGCAAGGACGACACCTGCAATTGCTCGCTGGCACAGGGGAGTGGTGACGGGGTCAACACGGACACAGGATCCGGCTCTGTCGTGCCAGCAATACACCATTATTGCCACTTCAAAACAAGCTTTGCTTGCCATTTGCTGCTGTCACACACATATGCGAAATCTGCAGGAGGAGCGTGGACACCATGAGGGCGTGGTCGCTGATTCTGGCGTGTGTGCTGCCCCTGGTGCTCGCACACGGCACGGAAGACGACCCCATCAACACCCCTGAAGGAGATTGCTGCGCTGCTCTCCTCGTCGAGGGCGAGGAGGGCTCCCTCGACGCCGCCGGCAAATACCGTCTGCCGCCCATTTGGTAATTGGCTATGGTGTATAGTCTATATTCCCAAGTCATGGACCTTTCTAGAGGTAATTGGCAATTGGTAATTGGCAATACATACCCTCGTGTAGTTCGTGTGGTTCAGTTCTAGTTCGTGTAGTTCAGTTGTGAGCACGCAAACGTGCTGCAGGGATTGCAGGTGTACCTCCTCGGGCTTACGCCCATTTGGTAATTGGCTATGGTGTATATATTCCAAGACATGGACCATAGGTAATTGGCAATACATACCCTCGTGTAGTGTGGTTCAGTTCTAGTTCGTGTAGTTCAGTTGTGAGCACGCAAACGTGCTGCAGGGATTGCAGGTGTACCTCCTCAGGCTTACGTACCCTTCCTTCCTAATAGTGTGTGTGTTCTTGAGATCTTCTGATGGCTCTAGCATTTTTGTGACCACGGACCGAGTCTTCGCTAGATTTTGGGATTAGCAACTGACACGAGTTTATTGTGAAGAAAAACAACAACAACAACAACCCTCTCCCAGCAGAACAGACCACCTGCTGCATAAAGTGCTTTCTGCTACTGCTGTAGAGAGCGTTGCTGCGCTCGAATTCTAGCGGCACACACTACTGTCTGGTGCATGACATCGACAGTATCTTCTACACTGACGCCCTCTCTGCCGTCGTTTCCTGCGGATGGATGTCCGACGTGTCACATGTACGCGCAGCCGTGGAGTGCCTTCCCCCGTGGCCTGCCCACAACTGACGTTCACGAACGACCGCAGCATCATCCGAGCCAGCTTGGCTTCTTGCCTACAAGAGCCAAGCCGACATCCGCCAACACCCCTCCTGCTCGCCCGTGGAATGGGAGCAGAGGTGCCCCCCCGGGGCGACGATGCTGCTCTCTAAGAAGAGGGGCGGGTGCCGCGCGGCCGGCTGCGTCGCTGCTGCTGTAGAGGGTGAGCTCACCGCGCAGCAGTCGATCAACGTGGTGAGTCGAAAGTGTTTGCAGCAAATTTGTTGGACTTCCAAGTCGTGCAAGTCGTGCGAGATTTTGCATCCTGCGCGCTTGTTTTTAAGACCTACAGCATGTGTGTCTCTAAGCAGTAGATTTTCAGGGACTCTGTTGGTGTGCACATAGGAGAAGAGGTTTGCAGATCGCTGCATGCGGACGGCACCTGCTCATCATATGCATAGACTGCATAGGAGCACAACAAAAGCCTTGTTACCGGTTCGTTTGCCCGGTCAACCCGCTCGAGATGTCCACAGCATCTGCTCCTTCGTTACTTGGCGGGATGAGGCACGACAGAGACATGCGGAGGATGTTCGCCGATTGCCATATTTTTCTTCTGCTGCTGTTTGGGTGCAGGGGCAAGATCTCGGGGGGGACACCGCAGTCCTCAGGGCGGTCACCGGCCAAGTGACCGCCAGGCTTCAAGCCGAGAAGCTCGACCTTCCTAAGGCTTTTTACTGGCACGTCCGGGGCTCCGGCGTGCTTTCGACAAGGTGGGCGGAAAAACAAAAGAGGGAACGCCAAAAGAATTGAAAGATTCTTCGTTTTGTTTGTCTCACGATCATGAGAGCGGAGGAAAATCGAGATGAATAGCAAGTTTGGTGAGGCAGATATAGCCGATGTAGACTACTGTTTAT